CAGCTTCAATTCCGCCGACGATCCTGACCAGTGAGCCATCGATTTCCCGAAGTCATCACTCGACATCTTCCAACTTCTCCTATACATAGATGTACACTCCCAACTCCCTCCCAGTTCATCAGATCCAACGTCGATCCGGAACTCAGATCAATCGCGTATCATTCAGAACGCGATCCCGCAAGCATGATTCGGCGCATGGAAGTAAAACGGTCAAGAATCACGGGATAATGAACTCTGGACCTCACCTCACTCTTTTATACCCCCACTCCACCGGAAAAAATAGAATATGATATTAATATACGCGAGCTGCAGGTACGCGCCGTTGAGCTCACCGGTACAGATCCCATCTAGATTTCAAATTCACACATTCGAGTCTTGTAAACACGTGTATGCAGGAAGGCTGGCAGCCGTGCCGTCCCGTGTCGTGTTCGATTCACGCGTGGTCAACGGCCAACGTAACAAGCGCGGCACATCGCAGAAGTCAGACACAGATTATAGAACAGATATCGGTACCAATCATCAGCAGACAAAGTGCGGCATTACCCTGATTCCCGTCGTATATTCCATATCCCATAATCTGCCGGCCCGTCATCACAGCTATAAAAAAATCAAAAGTGCAAGCAAAACACACACGAACGCCGCCCAACTCCTAATGTGAATATATACAATGAAGCAAAGCCTCCTCCCTAGCGCCAGCGGCGCCCCCATCCCTCAGCCCCCCAGCCCCGATCGACGGCCAGGTCAGCCCCACCCCACCGCACCCCCCATCACCAGCGCCACCACTGCCGCCGTCGCCAGTGCGGTCCACGCGGTGTGCATCGGCAGCGCCCTACCGCTCGCCGCGCTAGTCAGCGTGCCATTCGGCGGCGGCCCCTTCTCGCCCAGCCTTAGCGCGCTGATGCCGGTGCCGTTGTAGCAGTACTCGTCCCACACCTTGGGGTCGCCGAAGCGGTTGGCCTCATCGTCGGAGAAGGTGATGTCGAGGCACTGCGGGGGGTCATGTTAGCAATGCACGCAGAAGGCAGGGGGGGGACAAACGTTGTAGAGCGCGGCGCCCGTCGGGGTTAGTTGGATGACCTGGATGGTCGCGTTGACGCCTGCCGACACGTCCGGTGCGATCGAGGGTGGGATTTTGAGCTTCGGGATGCAGAAGGCTGTTGCAGCAGCGTCAGTCTTGCGTCTGGTAAGCGCAGTGAGGGGGGCGGGGCGCACTCTCGTTGCCGCCGGTTTGGTTAAAGAACGGCACCATCACGTGGGTGAACGGGTTGGAGTACACGCCCTCCTCGGTGACGTTGTTGCCGAGCGCGATGTTGACGGCGGTGAGGGCCCAGGCGTGGCCTGGGATCAGGCTCAGGGCGCCGCCGTTGGTCGGCCATGTGCTGCGGTTTGTGGTGTGGTGGACGCCGCCGCCTAGAGGTCGCATGTCAGTGGGGGCGGAAATAACGGTGGGCTTGGGGGAGAAGTACATGGAAATGTGAACTGCGTCTTGTAGGTGTCGCCGCGCCAGAGGGGGTAGCGGACGATGAAGTGCGCGTTGGCAGTGAGGGCGAGGGTCGTGGTGAGGAGGAAGGCGAATAGGTGTCGTGAGATCGTCATTGCTGCTGTATGTAACGTTTGTACGCGAGTTTTGAACTGGTCGAACCAAGAATGCAGACGAGAGTCGGAGGAGTGGGCCGCTGTTCAGGCTTCAGCGCAGCGTTGATTTCAAAGTTTGTATTGAACGGCCCCCAAATCCCCAGCACATTTGTTTCAAGCGGGCCGTCAGTATTTTTCAAAATCCGTTTCTGTCGTGAAGATGCGCAGCTCAGAAGCAGCGGGGCCTGGCCAGTACATATCTCGTTCCTTAAAATGCTTGTATTAAGTATCTCAGCCCCCCCTCCGATGGACAACCCTGATACAGCTGCCGCCCAGCCAATAGCAGACCCGACATGACAAGCCCCGCCATACTACATTTGGCCGCGCGATCCCGGAATTGGGTGAGAGGTCCAATGCTTGTTTTTTCGTGTGCGTCCACCGTTGTATCACCGGCTGGGTTACGGGAAAAGCAACGTGCTTTGTTGGGTGCGAGCCCGTGCACCCCGAGGAGAACAAAAGGAAGTATTTTGGATACCGGGAATGAAGCGTATGTAGAAGTAAGGCTGCACTTCTGTGGGACGGAGAAATTGGAGGGAAGACCTGGTTGCGACAGGACGGGAATAGGTATGTAGTATGTAGCCGCACATAAAAACGCTGCTATTATTTTACCGCCTGGCACGACTGGCAGCGTGGAGCACGAGTACAACATTGTAGTCGTACTTGTACTCTACAAGGAAGACGCCAACAGAGGTGATAGGTCATTTACACAATGACATCGTATCGCGTGGAAAATGGCCACTCGATGTTTCCAGCCAACAACTTTGAGATGGTGTAGGCATTCGGCTCTTATCGCGCTGTTGAGAAAGCCTTAGTAGCGTTGATTTTCGCGCAACTTCCAACAGGCGTGAGGAAAATTCTTTCATCAACACTGTTGGAACGTGAAGATGTCCATTAGGAAGGAAGTTGGAAGGAAGTTCGCCGGGCCCAGTATGCCAGTATGTTGCGGGGAACCAAGACCCAAGAGTCTGTCGGTTGGATGCGAGGTACGTAAGTGGGCCAACGTAGACGAGCTGGCGATCTTCCCCCACAAGGCTAGAAGGAACTAGTGTAACGCTACCGAAGTTGGTAAAAAGCTTGACGAGTTGTTCCATATGCGGAGGATTTTAAGGACGTTAATCCTGCCGATTCAAGACATCCGGCTGCTTGTCCTGTATCAGGTATTTTTGTGCGAAGTACAGTATCTTTCAATACAATCATAAGTTATCACCTTTCCCACACAACTGCGTCCAGTAATTTAGCGCCTACGAGGATTGCGAAGTCTATTGGAAGATCGCATTCGGTGATAAACCCCTATGCTATCAAGATCAGCTTCGCAATCGGGCCCATGACGCGCATCGGAAAAACAAACTAACCCCTATAGAAAACGTTTTATTTGTTCATTTATTTGTTATTGATCATCATAAATAACGATAGTACTCCTAATACTCTTCATTAGCCACGCCGCAAAGTTGCCTGATAAACCCCAGGTAATTTACACAGATTCAAAACTTAAAAGGGGGTGATGTATTACCTTAAGAATAGACATTAGTAAGTTTAATCTGGTATGCTGATCAGTGTCAATGCAATGCTGCTGTAGTTGGCCAGAAAATAGACATCTTTTCTCGAATATATGTGGTTAGAAGCTGCAGATGCGACATAGACGATTTCCAGAGTCATTTCTCACCTGGTTATATTCGTGTTCTATGGACCGTTGTTGATGGAATGAACCTTGCGGATAGACGCCATCTAGCTTCCTCCGTTTGCGCGTTTATGCAGGCGGAACCTCCCGCGAAACCTAGGTTTACTGTGGTGAATTCCAATAAGCAAGTATGAGACAGTTGTTTTCCACGAACCTATCTAACATAACTTGTTAGCTCTAGAATTTAGATGGTTGCTTTTAGCGAGAACAAACTTTGCTTCCAGTAGCGCTGGGTGGCGCCCGAAACGAACATGTTGATCGATAGGATAGAATCCAACAGCTAAGGAGTCTTGATCTCGCAGGGTAAAAGGGATGAAGAGAAATTTGAAACCGCAGTTGATGAATCGGATTTGATTGAGGTGAAATAGGTGGAAGAGGAAAGAGTTGGTAGAGGGAAGAGAGGTGGTAGAAAAGTAATGTCGCTTCTTCACCGTGCATGACTCGGGTTTAGACGACTTCGGCAGTCGATTATCGTTTTTGAAGAAAAAGTCTTTCGCTGTCATGCATGCAGAGAAGATTTTTTGTGCTCCATATGCGTAGTTATCTGTCAATATTTGCCCAACTGAAGCTTGCATCGATGCCGCACAGTATCTTGTGCATTTAAGCTCGTGATTATCTTTCCCCACGTCTATCCTCCAACACCAGTGGTCTCAATATCGAAGGGTCGAACAAGACGTTGCTCGTGTGGATTTGTTTCAACTATTGCCGCCATATTCAACCAGTACGTTTTGGTTGACCCGAGGTTGCATCAGGAGCTAGTTTTCAGACTGATGTTTTGAGAAATTTGATCTAGAAGTTTCCAATACTGATGAATTGTTGATATATTCCGACACATCTGAGGGTCCTGTTGTGTGATCATCTTTCCACCTCCAGTGCCCCATGTTTTAGCTGCCGCTTGCTTGAACTGATCCCCGAACGAAACGCTTGAATGTTTTGTTCGGCCTCTGGAGAATAAACAGCGAAGCGTCGTTCAAATACTTTCGAGTGTTTCTTGAGCTGTGTAGAAACACTGAATCGATCTTCAGCTGTCGAGCTGAGGACCCCTATTGCTTTTGCATTTCCCTGGGCTAGCCGACTATGAATAAGAGAAGTATGTGTGCTGCTCGCTGCATAACACAAGTCAGTTAACACCGTGGGTAGAAATCAAAAGAAGCCAATAGAGTTGAATCATTGCAGATCTTTCCTCTCGTGGGAAAGGAGCAAACTTTCTATCATTTGATGATTGTGATAATGTCCGCAAAATAACATTTATCAAAAATTGAAGCTGACAGTATATTAGACCCAACAGTCAAATTTCAGCGTGTTTATGTCTCTCAAAATTCTTTGTGGTTGTGACGGAAACTTGGATGGAACTTCAATAGTATGAGTCTGAGAAGGCCCCAGCCGTACGGGAAGTACTCCATTTGTCGGCCTTCAATATACAGCATTCCGAACACCCTCAGATTGCCGAGGGATGCACCGTTGGAGAGGACATCTCCATGGGGTCAAGATATCCTCTTCTGTGGCAGAAATCTAAAATGTCATACGACTAGATAAGTCGGGAGCTGACATGGTCAGATCTTTCTAACTAGTCCTATTTGTTCTCGTTGCGTCTTTAGTGCTGATTATTAGATTGGCGATAGGTTTAGGCAGAATAAAAGACTAGGATTGCATTCTGCCTGTGCAAGGAAGAATGCAAGCAAAAAGATGATTGCAGCCAGGATCGAACTGGCGACCTTTTGCGTGTGAGGCAAACGTGATAGCCACTACACCATGCAACCAGGCTGTGCTGATTAAAGGCCTGCTGCGCACATCAATGCTGCTTACCATGAGAGGAGCAGATGATGAGATCAAGATTGCCAGGGTGATGTTAGTTCAGAGTTTATGGCGGTTGCAGACTGGATGCTGATGTTACGCTGCATTCAAAAGTACAATGACCGGCAGCTATCAGTTCTAATTGTATAAATTACAAAATATCAACGCTGAGGTTGATTCTCTCATGCAGGTTCTAAAAATCGATGCGAAAGGCTCAAATATGAATAGCAGGAGCTAAGGTACTGTGCGTTGACATAAATTTACGCCCTCCTCAAAAAACCCCCGTTACAACAACCTTCCACGCCCCACGATAGTGACTGTAGATGATAAATATAAAATCGTAGGAGCTATGATCTATATCTGAACTTGCTCTCTGATTAATTTCAAAATCTTAGAACGAGTTGTTGTGAAATAATTAATTTGCTTGGTTGCCATACACGCGAGGGGGGTCTAAATTTATGTCCTAGTACTGTATGTATATGTAGGATACCGATATGCGAATAAATCCAGTCAACATTGAATGTGTTCCTCGGTTTCACTTCAATGGATTAATTGTATGCCTTCAAGAATTCCTGTCAAACAGATTAGTCTTCCAATTTACGCGCAGCCAATATCTGAATTACCTCTAGATTGTCTTCTAACAAGCCCATGACATTTGTTAACACATCGCCCTTGAACCCCTCATCCTCTAAACTGGCACTCTGGGATGTATTCCCATCCATTCCGTTAATGCATCTTGCCACTGCAACTCCATATCTCTCTCCAGCAAGTCGAAAGATATCTCCCATCAGGCGGCTAGCGATGTTGTAGTATGCATTATGGTTATCGAAGGTTTCATCGGTAACACCGAGCTCTTCGATAGGTTTCTCCAAACAAAGCTCGATCAACACAATACCTAAGGAGAAGATAGTTTTGTCGCAGGCGACGAACCCACCGGTTTTGGACGGCGGGTGGATTTCTGGCGAGGGGTTTCCAAAGTCGTCTTGGATAAATGGGGTTTCAAGCAACGGGGCTGCCTTCCACTGGCCATCGGGTAGCTTTTTCTGTATACCGCCGTCCCGCAGAAAATGAACATCTCGGCTGCCCCAGCGTTCGTCTAGCCAGGCAGACGTGTGCAGTTGCATGGCTGCCGATGCGAGATCCACACCGAGCTTTAGCCGCGATTTGGTGTCGATGAAGTTCGGGATGAGAATCTCGTGTAGAGTGGTGGTCTTAGGGAGGGCAGACTGCAACATGTCGTTTCTTTGGAGTGGGTACGACCACACGCGCCAGCTGCAAGTATGGTCTTCGTGGAGGAGGAGGCCGAGGCAAGGCTCAATCTTGCCATTGGTAGTGGTGAATACTGTGGAGCAAAAGTTTGGGATGCGTGGATAATCAGGGGGGACTGTAGGGATTCTGGAGTATGTTGATGGCCGGTCTTCACACGCATCGACTTTTCTGAGGGGGTTGCAGGGGCTGCTTTCTTCTCTTTCGGAATTATAGGAGCAAGTAGTCCCTACCTCTGGTCCAGAACTGGTCCTCATGCGTCCAAACGCATTAGATACTATGGCAGAAAATGTATCTCGAAACGCTCCAACGCTAAATGGTCGCGGAGATGGACTACGCAAATTTGTCACTAGTAGACTAGGCTCGTCAAGACGAAGGTTTTGATGAAGGCTCCAAGTCTTTTGCGATGACAAATATTGAGGTTCAGGTATTGTCGCTTTCTCGACCTCCACAGGCTCAAAGTCCAGAAATTTCCAGTATCCCAATGTTTTCTGGCCAATCATCTCAAATAATACCCTTAGTTTGGCGTCCTGAGCGCGTGGTGGAGTTTTTCGCAGTTGAAGGCTTACGACATGTGAGCTTGTACACCCACAAACTGCTTGTTGGAAACTTAGAATAAAGATGTCGTGAAGCCAGATAGCGTAGTTCCGCATGCGATTGTAACTATGGACGGTAGTCGATTGTAGTCTTTTTTGTATAATACTTGCTGTTATAGGGATTGCAATTCTTGCAAGATCATCGTTTGCGTTTCGAATTTCGTTTCGAATATTTATATATTTCTGTTGTTCTAAGATAACTTTAAACTTGTTCCATTGGCGCTTCTTGACTTTTATTACGGTATTACCGAGCTAACGTAAAGTTAGTGTCTTTGAATCAATTGTAAGATCTTTCTTACCCCGTAACCGTCGTCAAGCTGGAATGCTTTGCATATCTCCTTCAACTTTTCGTCCAGCGAGTCCATAGTTTCTATAAACACTCTGACCTCCTTATCTGATCTTAAAGTTTGATTGAGTATGTTTTCAAGTTGAGTTCCACGATGTCGAAAGTTTTCTCCTAATAGAATTTGTAGAGTATTCTCGAGCTTGCACTGTTCCATCTCAAGGTTTCGAATCCATTGCTTTAGGATTTGTTGGTACCTATAGGTGTCCTTGATTTTGCTGACGGCATCGAGGTAAATCCCCATACCCTTGATGGCGAGAGGGAAGACAGCGAGGGCGATCCCTGCAAATTCCATGTTTGAACCAAGATAAGTGACATATATGGACTTGTGGTTGTTCGGGGTCGTTCGCAGTTTCAATTAGTTTGATGTTTCGTGTTGATACTATGTTACCGAAGAAATTCAACGGAAGAGAAGCAGCGCTTTGCGTATAAATAATACAGTTGTGAGATTCAATGCAGGCTTGGTTGAACCCACCGACTTTGAACGACGACGGAGTTATATTGTATGCAATAGTAACATCCAATGATTTGGAGGATAGATCATATGGTAAAAAAAAGAAGGAAGATGAGAGAGATTGAAATGTTATCATGATCAAGTGCGCAGCTTACATGGCGCTGTGGGCGGTTAACACCACCCCCGCTTTGTGTAACGCTGCATCTGTGTAACAATGATATTAATAGGAAGGGGTTTAATCTGCAGCTGCACACACATTTCTCTAATCTGTCTCGCCGCGTAACCGAGCAAATAAATTCTTAAGTGGTACACAAGAGCGGCGCGCACAGGTTGTTACGGCATAAGAGACCAACATTTCTCTTGAATCGACCCTCCACTCTTCAATATTTTCTCAGGAAGATTATCGGCATTACCAATTAAGAAGTCTCAATTAACCTCTGAAAAATCAACCCTCCCTATCCCAGGGGTTCCATTCCATTCTATGAACTCGATTCACCCAAGGGCCAACCCCTCCATAGCTAGTCAGTATCATCACTGATATCTATCACCCCAAACCCTCTCCCGAAAGTCTTTAGCCACATCCCGCAGCCCGCACTTCGAGCCGGGCCCTCCTCTTCTGCCGCCTCCTCTGCCTCGCCGCCGCAAACTTGCTGTTCGCCCGGACGCGACGGCTAGGATTGATCTGTGGGTGAGGACCGAAGTTTAAAACTCTGATCAGATTCAATTAACTCGACAGCACCAAGAGAAGAAAGACAGCATTTCGATCAAAACTTGTCCGACCACACTTAATGTCGTCTATTCACTCATTGTACTGCGAGTGCATGAGAAATTTCCAGTCGTTGATCCATAGATTTGGTACACCAGAATCTCCTGCCAGTCTTCGAATTGACTTTGGACGCTTCATGGTATGGGCTGCAGATACTGGAGCGCATCAACAGAACAGTCTGTCACTAGATTACCGGCTTAGAGATGACTCAAATGTGAAGCAAATGGTGTACAAGCTCCTTAAGCATCTGTTCGAAGCACTTGAGAGTGGTATGTACTTATTATGTCATTTCCATAACCTACTGATTCCTGATCCATCTTAGCGATATGTTTCTCCCTAGATAGTAATGAAGGTTCGGATAGTGGACAATCTTGGCCTTCCGATTCAGATGAATCTGAAGACGAAGAAGAAGAGTCGCTTAAGGACGAATCGGCAAACTATACAATATCTGAGCTGGATGCAATTTTTGTGGACATTTCCCACGCCATCACCTGTCTCTATGAATTTTCGATTACAATCAAAAACCCCGCATCAAGGGATATAATAAATACATGTCAATCGGTACATATCTACACCGATGGATACGATGGACAGTATACCGAACAAGAGATATCGGAGCTGTTCCCTGGTGCAAAAGCGTGGTTGACCAAGCGATTGGCAAAAGCACAAATAAATCGACGCCGATACAGATATACAAATGCCTTGAAGAGGGTACACGGCAAGGAAGAAACCATTATTGTAGGAGAATCCGAAAGCGAGTTTGACGAGGATAGACATTCGCAAACCTTGCTCACTCCGATCGCTGATCCACGAAACCCTGAAACTATGCTTCACGGCACTCCTTTTAAATGTCTATTCTGCAGCCAGACTATCTCGGTGACTGGGCGAAAATGTTGGATGTTAGTTTTTTCCTCCTCGTAGTTTTAATTTTCAGGTGCCTGATAGTTTTTAGAAATCACGTGTTTGACGATCTGCGTCCATATGTGTGCTCAGTTGAAAAATGCGCAACATCCGATAAGCTTTATGGTTGTCAACAGGAATGGTTTGCTCATGAACTTGCTGTCCATCGCCGGGAGTGGTACTGCAATTTATGTGATGAGAAATACGACAATGATTCGCACTTCCGAAATCATGTGGCTAGTTGTCATGATACCGTTTTTAAAGATGAGGCAGAATTAAACACCATTGTAGATAGGTGTGAAAGAGCCTGCAAGCGGGCTCAGGATTGCCCGTTGTGTGGTGAAATTTGTACTGTGAATGATCTTCAACATCATCTTGGTTCTCACATGCAGCAGATAGCTTTGGATCTTGTATATGGCGCCTGGGTGGACGTTGATGAGGCCGTGAAATCAAGGACAGACATGATGGAAAAGACGAGGCCTCACGATTTTCTAGCGTCGTGGTTGAAGTATGGGCCGGGGTATGAGGATGATGCCGAATCGTTCGCAAGACGGCTAAAAGCAGTGAAGTCACTTGAGAAGCAAAATCAGCTATCCGAAGCGATAAAAGACAGCCACGAGATAACTGCCCGTTCGCTTATC